CATTAGTTTTACCTTTGAATATTGTTTAAGAATGACTATATAAATATTTACATGCCTAGAAATGTATAAAAATTGGCATATTTATTAACTTTGAACCCCCATAACTTTTTATGGGGGTGAGACCGCTACGAACATTTTATGGTACAGTGGTGGGAGAGACCTGCTCTTTCGACCCCCCCATCTAGCCATCATCTAGACCTTTACCACCATATTTTGTATAATCTTAATGAACTCATAAGACAAGATCACAAAATATTATTTTTTGAAGCGCTTCGAGGATAGGAAAAAACGTTGGAACAAGTGTAGAATATCTGGTGGGGATTACTTTGAAGGGGTCAAAATATATATTCACGAAAATAAATAATTTTTGAAAAAACACAAAATTCGCTATTATTTTTAAACAGAGCTCGTACAGTAGTAAGCGCAAATAGAAAATTTTGCACCAGCTAAAACAAAACAGTTAAAATGAGCTTTTGCGGGGCCTATTTTGGTATTTTTGAAATTCATTTTGGCCACCTCGCTTCCCAGAGACCATGTATCAATGAAGAGCTTTTCATGTTAAATAAAGGTACTTAAAATGTAACCATCTTTGGACAATCAACCAGTATCGTATGGATCATTTTTGACCAAATAAATAAAGAATACAAACATAGATTTCATTATATAAGTACGTACTGGAATAGGTGTAAAATATACGATATATTAACTCGATTATCTGACAAGAATTCTAGCTCACATTTTCCTACTCGATTCATTTTTGGCACCAATTAACAATGCACCTAAACTATAGGGTTGTTCGGAAAGTCATTTCGTTTTTTCCCGACAGAGGATTTAATTGTATTCTTTTGCACCCAACTTCACATTTAAGCCGTATAATTTTTTATATGCTTTGAGAGCTCATATAGCAAGGCTTGTGTGTGAAAAATTCCAATTAATTCTACGCAGTAGTTTTTGGTTGGTGCCCTTTTAAATATGGAGAGTCATAAGCAGCATTTTCGACATATCTTACTGTTTTACTACAGAAAGGGTAAGAAAGAAATTGACTGATGTGTATGGAGAAGGTGTGTTGACAGTCCGCCAGTGCCAGAGCTGGTTCGCTAAATTTCGATCCGGCAATTTTGATGTCGAAGATGCACCACGTTCGGGAAGGCCGGTTGAAGCTGATAAAGACGCGATAAAGGCATTGGTTGATGTGAACCGGCGAATAACAACACAAAAGATCGGATTGAGGTTAAATTTATCAAATTCAACAGTTTATGACCACTTGAAAGGCCTGGGATTATCCTCGAAGCTCGACGTATGGGTTCCTCATGTTCTCACAGAGAGAAATCTGTGTCGCCGCATTGACGTCTGCGATTCGCTTCTCAAACGTCACGAAAATGATCCGTTTTTGAAGCGCATCATCACTGGGGACGAAAAATGGGTTGTATACAACAACGTCAAACGCAAGAGGTCATGGAGCAAAAAAGATGAACCGGCTCAAACCATTTCCAAAGCCGATATTCACCAAAAAAAGGTGATGCTGTCTGTTTGGTGGGATTTTAAAGGAATCGTTTTTTTTGAGCTTTTACCGGATAACACAACGATTAATTCGGAAGTCTACTGTCATCAGCTGGACAAACTGAATGATGCACTTCAACAGAAAAGGTCAGAACTAATCAACAGGAAAGGTGTAGTGTTTCACCAAGACAACGCGAGACCTCACACAAGTTTGGTCACTCGCCAAAAGCTTTTACAGCTTGAATGGGATACAATGCTACACCCACCATATTCTCCAGACCTGGCACCATCGGATTATTATTTGTTCCGGTCACTCCAAAATTTTTTAGACGGTAAAACCTTCACCTCAAATGAGGAGGTCAAAAACCTCCTCGATCAGTTTTTTGCCAGCAAAGACCAAAAATTTTATGAGCGTGGAATTATGCTACTACCAGAAAGATGGCAAAAGGTGTTGGACCAGAACGGTCAATATATAATTTAATAAAGTATTTGTTTATTATACGAAAACTGTCTTTCATTTCCACAAAAAAAACGAAATGACTTTCCGAACAACCCTATATTTACCATTGAGGAATAAGTATGTAACACCCTTGAATAACAAATTGTAAATATGTTTAGATAAATAACAAACTTACCGATCCCGGTTGTGGTTGGCAAGAGTAGTAAATGACCAGAGGAAGGGTCCCTGACTAATTGCACTCCTACGGGCGGCACGGGCAGGGCGGGCAAGGGCAACATCGGTTCAACTGGTAGGGTCGCTGAAACAATTACTTATTTTCTGAAAAAAATTATGAACTCGCTTTCTAGCCGGGGCATTTAAATAATTTATAGTTCTCCATATAACATCACATCACGCACTCGCCCACATAATGTTTCCTGTGTACACACACACGTGAACCGCGTACATTCACACATACATGCATTTACAAGTAAACGTTTCGTGCAAACTATCGCGGCCCAGATAAGCGATCCCAACTGTTTTGTTGAGCTTACTTCCGTTAATTCAAATACGAATAAAAGTTACTACTTTTTAAGGTGCGTGTAGACCAAGCGANCTGATATATTTTTAAACGTTAATATTTTATTACTGTACCTACTTGTCTTATGCCCCAGTCTTTGCGAACCACCTTGTATCCTATTTTATAACCAATAATTTAGTCCGTTCAGCGTATGACGTATTATCAAATATGCATGTGTTTTAAACTTTGCTAAAGTAAATACTTAGTCATAAGTTAGCATGTGTAATTAAGTACCTACTATTATTTAAGTATCTGCACATCCCACGGTAAACGTTACGAAGTGTCCGACTGTCAACTGTAGTTATGTATTGTTGTAACGCCTCACAAATTGGGCGTTACAATTTTTACGACTCTGAAACAAGCGTTTTCAGAGAATTTAGATGTCCTTGAGAGTAAAATTTTAGGTTGAGGTCACCATAGGCGAAAAAATTTAACTAAAATGCCGCTAATAATTGTAGAAGGGGGGGGGGGAATTGATGATCACTTTTTGTGTACTTTGGACTAGGACAAAGGAACACAATACGTAGATATATGTATCTATGTGCAAACTTGTTTGATGTAAATATTATGTTTGGAAGACTAAAGAGATTTGTTTTTTGGACCAAGCGTTAAACCGCTATAAATATTTTGAGCCAAAATTGTCACCAATTATTTCCCTCCTTGAGCATCTTCATCGTTTATTTTTTGCAATGAAAACAAATTTTCTTATACCTGCATACAATAAGAACAGAAGACTATATGATACCTAAGAGAAGACTGTGCAAAGTTTGTTTAATTCCTGACACAATAAGAATCCAAAATGAGACCAAAATACGAAGTCTTCTATTCAATTCTATATTAATATATGTTGAAGATCCTAAAGGAAGGACGGGAGCACTCTAACCGTAACTCTTTTCAGAAACAACTTATCTCTTCCGGTATTGAACTCTGTTGTTCAAAAGCGGATTTTTATTTCAACAAAAATTTAATTAGAAGATGAAAACATTAAATACCTAATAGAAGAAACGTAAATGTACAACGTGGTTTTGTTGTTTTAGCTTCCATTCTTCGAAACTATGATTTTAAATTGTTTGTCCTACGTAATTGCTATTCGTCAGGAAGTTCACATTGCAATATTTTCTACACATCTATATGTATATTGTAATAATGTGTGCACGCAAGTGAATGTAGCATGTCCTATCAGGTTCCTGTTGAAATATATGTTCCCTCAGATAGCGGCTCAATCCGAGTTTGCGTGGGCAATTCATTGTTAGCAAGACAGATGAGTTTATTTCGCATATAAACGAGTAGAATAGGAAAGAACACTCAATTCGGAACGAAAGTGTGGCTATAAAGGAGATTAAGTATGTGACGTAAATGAGTAGGCTTTGTTAAAGAAAATGAAAAAAGAAAAAACTCATTAAAAGTGGAGCCCATTTAAATGATAATTACGAACGCAGAATTCTCTAAAATGACTAAACACACTGGATATGTGAAGGTCAGAAATGAGGAGGTATTAGAAAATGAGTATAATGAGTACAGTTGTGGAAGTCAATAAGAACTAGGCAAGATAAGTTGAGGTAGGATACCTTCTTAGGCATGAAAAGATACTTAGAAGCATCTTAGGGTTAAAGGCCTTATGATGATGATGATTTCAATCAATCCTGGAAGAGTAGATGATCTTTTAGTTCTCGTCAGTATATCATGGGTATTGGTTGATAAAGTTTACACACCTGCTTATTGCTTGGCATGTCTAATTTAATTACGTTTTGCGTGGGTACAATTACTTATTTCACGTTGAAAGTGAAACGGTTCGTTCATCTTTTTGCGTTCATAACCTCGTTTACGTGTACTCCTGTTATACCTAGTACCTATTGTAGTAGATGTTATAAAGTATAGGTAGTGCACGTTGCTATTGGATGTAGATGCCTACCTGAGGTTAACAAAAGGCCTTCGGCGAGAGGCCATTATTATTAGACCTGGGTGTCTGCAACCATTATTGTATATTGTGCATGTAACGCGATCCCTCGCACATAAATTAAGTTTCATAATCGAACTAATGCTTCTCGCCGTTTTTCTGTTTTACGCGTGTTGTGTACATTTGCTCGTAATAACGGGTTATAAGGTAATCTATCGCAAGTAACGGCTTTTCACGTTGGCGTTTCACATTGTTGCCCCGTTCTAGTATTACAACTCCAAGACACATACTTGCTATGAAAAACATGCAACAAATAAGGAAGTGGGTTGTAGATAAGACCAATTTTTCGTGTCGTACAATACAATGTTTCCTTTTCAAATTATTTTGTCAGGTTTTATGAGATTTAGAAACTACATTTAGCTATTGAATTTGAATGGGTTCGTCTTTATTTCAGAAACGTTCGTTTTTAAACATTTTGGATCACTTCAGAACACCATAGAAGTGTACAGCATCAAGTCGCAGTCGCTCGCGTTAATGATAAGGCGGCTGTCAATTATTTTACGATGAGGTAGAAGTAGAAACGACTTCCCTAACCGCATCATACGACCGTCTTGAAGCATAGTCGTAGCTCTTAGTATCACCATTGTATCTACGTGTACGATAACTTTACCAACTTCTTATTAAAATAGGAATATCGTTGAAATGTTTATTGGAGATAAAGATAAGCGCCCAACGAATAAAACTGAAAAAAATCTTCAAACTCTATCCAGCAGTTTTTGAGTGACGGACGCAAATTACACGGCACTATCCATAAATATTTTAGTGTGCCTTTAGATATAAGTACATTGTCTGCGTAACCTTTAATAGATGCTAAAACGTCATAGTTATTTAAAAGTGTAATTAATGCACGGAGTTGTCCGTACCGCTTTATTTATGTTAGTTTTAACTGTTCAACTGACACTTCACGCTTTCCTCACCCACGAGCAATTTGCTCGGCGAAGGTCTCTGGTCTCTCTAATCCAGGCCTACTGCATTTATTACGAACGAACGAACGAACGAATGGACGGACGTGGACGGTCGGATTGAAGTCTGGGAAGCAATAATATCACGCTCAGCGCTCTCCAAGTTTGCATTTCAGCAATCAAAGGAGCTTCTCACGGATAAAACAAACATTCCTCAGATACAGTGTCCATACCGTGGATAATATATTTTGAATTAGCTAGAGATTAAGGAGCATCTAGCAAGAAGGAGTTACAGATAGCTTTAAATAAAATGGAAGCGGTACTGACAAAACAGTACTGTATGAAAATAAATAAAAGTAAAACAAAAATACTTGTATGCATTAGAAGAAGTGGCCGATTTTAGGTATCTAGGAAGTCAGATAAGTCAGGACGGAAGGAGTAGTAGGGTTATAAAGCAGAGGATGGCGCAGGGTCGTGTTGCCTTCAATAAAAAGAAGTCACTTCTGTGCTCAGGAAAGGTTAATTTAGAAATTCGAAAAAGATTGTTAAAAGAAAAGCGTTCGAAATGTGGTGTTATAGCCAAATGATGAGGATACCGTGGATAGGGAAGGTTAGAAATGAAGGGGTATTAGAAAGAATAGGAGAACAGGGGACTCTATGGAAATCAATAAGAAATAGGAGAGATAGGTTAGTATAACACCTTCTCAGGCATGAAGGTCTAGTCAGAGACATATTAGAGGCGCAAACGGGAGTTAGAAGAGGTGGAGGTGGACCAAGATTTGATTACTGTTCGCAAATAGTTAAGGATATGGGTTGTTCTAGTTTTAGGGAAATGCGAAGATTAGCTCAGGATAGGAAAGAGTGGAGGTGCGTTTCCAACCAGCCTTAGGACTGACGACCTTATGATGATGAGAGATTAAGACAAGTGGCCGACTATAATGATAATAATTATATTATGAACCTTGATCTCATGCTGCTGTCACAATTCGATTTGCTCATCAACATCTATGTGTATCTAAATAAAAGTGAAGATTATGAGCTTCCTACAACTCCACGTTATTCGTTGCGCCTTGCTTAATATTTAAATTACAATTAATAAATTGACGTTTCTTTGTTTATTGTCGCGTTTTAATTAATCACTTTTGAGTAAATAATTGCTTATTACTGATATATTTCACTGACTTGTAAGGTTATTATTTATTGTTAAGTATAAAGCGTATCTACATATTCGCCCACATCTCAAACAAAGTTTAGTTAATGTACTTAGGCAGGAACAGCGACCCATTCGAGCATTTATCTCACCACACAACTTAGTCAACTTACCTATCGCTAATTATACTGTCAGCTAAAATGGCAAAACGTTTAAAAGAGGAAATCTCCATCGACCATTCATTATAGAACGACTCGGGGAAGAAGTTTAAAATAAAGATATTGTGCTTTGTAAGCACATAGAACCACGTAAAACAATGAAATCCAATTTTTATTTTGTACGTTTCTGCGTATACATATACACGTAGAAGCATGCAGTTAGCTTCCCAACCATTGCTAGTCATATTTACACATCGGACTTCCATGCATTGCGTTACAACGCCGTAAAATATTCTCTATAGTTTTCATGTAAAGTTTAGGTAAACTTTTATATTCGGTTCATTTGTAGATTCGGGCAGTTTTATGAAATGCTAAATATTTTCCCTGTTCGTGTTTCTATATTATAATCGTCGGAACGGGTGAGTGACGGTAGTTGGGGAGAGACAGACGCGAAGGACCAAGGACCAGATGAAAATAATAAAAAAGCGAAGGTACGTAATCAACTTCCTAAATCATTATCTACTATACTAGACTTTAATAATGTACAGTACTATTCCACACTTAAGTTTTCA